GTAGGGGATAGAGGGTAATGGGTATAGGGTAGGGGATAGAGGGTAATGGTATGGGATATAGGGTAGGGGATAGAGGGTAATGGTAAGGGATATAGGGTAGGGGATAGAGGGTAAGGGGTATAGGGTAGATGATAGAGGGTAATGGTAAGTGATTTAGGGTAGAGGATAGAGGGTAATGGTAAGGGGTATAGTGTAACGGTAGGGATAGAGGGTAATGGGTATAGGGTAGGGGATAGAGGGTAATGGTAAGGGATATAGGGTTGAGGATAGAGGGTAATGGTAAGTGCTATAGGGAAGGGGATAGAGGGTAATGGTGTGGGATATAGGGTAGGGGATAGAGGTTAAGGGGTATAGGGTAGATGATAGAGGGTAATGGTAAGTGCTATAGGGTAGGAGTGTAACGGTAGGGATAGAGGGGAAAGGGGATAGGGGAGGGGATAGAGGGTAAGGGGTATGGGGTAGATGATAGAGGGTAATGGGTATAGGGAAGGGGATAGAGGGAAATGGTAAGTGATTTAGGGTAGAGGAGAGAGGGTAATGGTAAGGGATATATGGTAGAGGATAGAGGGTAATGGGAAGGGATATAGGGGAGGAGATAGAGGGTAATGGTATGGGATATAGGGTAGAGGATAGAGGGGAATGGTAAGGGATATAGGGTAGAGGATAGAGGGTAATGGTAAGGGGTATAGGGTAACGGTAGGGATAGAGGGTAAAGGGTATAGGGTAGGGGATAGAGGGTAATGGTATGGGATATAGGGTAGGGGATAGAGGGTAATGGTAAGGGATATAGGGTAGGGGATAGAGGGTAATGGTAAGGGATATAGGGTAGGAGATAGAGGGTAATGGTAAGGGATATAGGGTAGGGGATAGAGGGTAATGGTAAGGGATATAGGGTAGGGGATAGAGGGTAATGGTAAGGGATATAGGGTAGGGGATAGAGGGTAATGGTAAGGGATATAGGGTAGGGGATAGAGGGTAATGGTAAGGGATATAGGGTAGGGGATAGAGGGTAATGGTAAGGGATATAGGGTAGGGGATAGAGGGTAATGGTAAGGGATATAGGGTAGGGGATAGAGGGTAATGGTAAGGGATATAGGGTAGGGGATAGAGGGTAATGGTAAGGGATATAGGGTAGAGGATAGAGGGTAATGGTAAGGGATATAGGGTAGGGGATAGAGGGTAATGGTAAGGGATATAGGGTAGGGGATAGAGGGTAATGGTAAGGGATATAGGGTAGGGGATAGAGGGTAATGGTAAGGGATATAGGGTAGGGGATAGAGGGTAATGGTAAGGGATATAGGGTAGGGGATAGAGGGTAATGGTAAGGGATATAGGGTAGGGGATAGAGGGTAATGGTAAGGGATATAGGGTAGGGGATAGAGGGTAATGGTAAGGGATATAGGGTAGGGGATAGAGGGTAATGGTAAGGGATATAGGGTAGGGGATAGAGGGTAATGGTAAGGGATATAGGGTAGGGGATAGAGGGTAATGGTAAGGGATATAGGGTAGGGGATAGAGGGTAATGGTAAGGGATATAGGGTAGGGGATAGAGGGTAATGGTAAGGGATATAGGGTAGGGGATAGAGGGTAATGGTAAGGGATATAGGGTAGGGGATAGAGGGTAATGGTAAGGGATATAGGGTAGGGGATAGAGGGTAATGGTAAGGGATATAGGGTAGGGGATAGAGGGTAATGGTAAGGGATATAGGGTAGGGGATAGAGGGTAATGGTAAGGGATATAGGGTAGGGGATAGAGGGTAATGGTAAGGGATATAGGGTAGGGGATAGAGGGTAATGGTAAGGGATATAGGGTAGGGGATAGAGGGTAATGGTAAGGGATATAGGGTAGGGGATAGAGGGTAATGGTAAGGGATATAGGGTAGGGGATAGAGGGTAATGGTAAGGGATATAGGGTAGGGGATAGAGGGTAATGGTAAGGGATATAGGGTAGGGGATAGAGGGTAATGGTAAGGGATATAGGGTAGGGGATAGAGGGTAATGGTAAGGGATATAGGGTAGGGGATAGAGGGTAATGGTAAGGGATATAGGGTAGGGGATAGAGGGTAATGGTAAGGGATATAGGGTAGGGGATAGAGGGTAATGGTAAGGGATATAGGGTAGGGGATAGAGGGTAATGGTAAGGGATATAGGGTAGGGGATAGAGGGTAATGGTAAGGGATATAGGGTAGGGGATAGAGGGTAATGGTAAGGGATATAGGGTAGGGGATAGAGGGTAATGGTATGGGATATAGGGTAGGGGATAGAGGGTAATGGTATGGGATATAGGGTAGGGGATAGAGGGTAATGGTAAGGGATATAGGGTAGGGGATAGAGGGTAATGGTAAGGGATATAGGGTAGGGGATAGAGGGTAATGGTATGGGATATAGGGTAGGGGATAGAGGGTAATGGTATGGGATATAGGGTAGGGGATAGAGGGTAATGGTAAGGGATATAGGGTAGGGGATAGAGGGTAATGGTAAGGGATATAGGGTAGGGGATAGAGGGTAATGGTATGGGATATAGGGTAGGGGATAGAGGGTAATGGTATGGGATATAGGGTAGGGGATAGAGGGTAATGGTAAGGGATATAGGGTAGGGGATAGAGGGTAATGGTAAGGGATATAGGGTAGGGGATAGAGGGTAATGGTATGGGATATAGGGTAGGGGATAGAGGGTAATGGTATGGGATATAGGGTAGGGGATAGAGGGTAATGGTATGGGATATAGGGTAGGGGATAGAGGGTAATGGTAAGGGATATAGGGTAGGGGATAGAGGGTAATGGTAAGGGATATAGGGTAGGGGATAGAGGGTAATGGTATGGGATATAGGGTAGGGGATAGAGGGTAATGGTATGGGATATAGGGTAGGGGATAGAGGGTAATGGTATGGGATATAGGGTAGGGGATAGAGGGTAATGGTATGGGATATAGGGTAGGGGATAGAGGGTAATGGTAAGGGATATAGGGTAGGGGATAGAGGGTAATGGTAAGGGATATAGGGTAGGGGATAGAGGGTAATGGTATGGGATATAGGGTAGGGGATAGAGGGTAATGGTATGGGATATAGGGTAGGGGATAGAGGGTAATGGTATGGGATATAGGGTAGGGGATAGAGGGTAATGGTAAGGGATATAGGGTAGGGGATAGAGGGTAATGGTAAGGGATATAGGGTAGGGGATAGAGGGTAATGGGTATAGGGTAGGGGATAGAGGGTAATGGTAAGGGATAGAGGGTAATGGTAAGTGCTATAGGGTAGGGATAGAGGGTAATGGTAAGGGGTATAGGGTAGGGATAGAGGGTAATGGTAATGGTAAGGGGTATAGGGTAGAGGATAGAGGGTAATGGTAAGGGTTATAGGGTAGGGGATAGAGGGTAAGGGGTATAGGGTAGGGTAAAGAGGGTAATGGTAAGGGATATAGGGTAGGGGATAGAGGGTAATAGTAAGGGATATAGGGTAACGGTAGGGATAGAGGGAAAGGGATAGAGGGTAGAGGGAAGGGATAGGTAATAAAGGGTAGGAGTAGATGGTTGGGGTAGAGGGTAGGGGTAAAGGGTAGAGGGTACGGGTAGAGTGTATTTGGTAGGGGGTAAGGATTGAGGTTATGTGGTAGAGGGTATGGGTACAGGGTAATGGATAGAGGGTAATGGTAAGGGGCAGAGGTTAGGGGAAGGGAGAGGGTAGAGGGGAAGGGAGAGGGAGAGGGAATAGAGGGCAGGCGTACAGGATACTGGGTAGGGGTAGAGTGAATTGGGTAGGGGGTAAGGAATAAGGTTAGAAGGTAGAGAGTATAGGTACAGGGTAATGGGTACAGGATAGGGGATAGATAGTAAGGGATAGAGGGTAGAGGTTAGGCGAAGGGAGATGGAATAGAGTGTAAGGGTAGGGTAGAGAATAGAAGGTAGAGAATAGAGGGTAGGGTAGGGTAGAGAATAGAGGGTAGGAGATATAGTGTAGAGAAGGGCAGAGAATAGAGGGTAGGGGATATAGGGTAGAGGGAAGGGAGATGGAATAGAGGCTAGAGAATAGAAGTTAGATAATAGACGGTAGAGAATAGAAGTTAGATAATAGACGGTAGAGAATAGAGGGTAGAGGTAGGGTAGAGAATAGAGGGTAGGAGATATATGGTAGAGGGGAGAGGGAATAGAGGCTAGAGAATAGAAGTTAGATAATAGACGGTAGAGAATAGAGGATAGAGGTAGAGGGTAGGGGGTATAGGATTGGGGGTAGACGGCTAGGGTAGGGGAAAGGGGAAAAGGAAGTGGGTAAAGGGTACGGGATATGGGCAGAGGTTAGGATAAGAGGGTAAAGGTTAGGGGTAGAAGTAGATCAGAGGATAAAGGATTGAGGGTAGAGGTTAGGGAGAAGAAGTAGGATATTTAGTGTAGATGTTCTGTATTTATCACTTTTTTTTCAAAAATTTGGACAGGTCTTTAAACATATTTCGGACATTATTTAAGATATTGACCATCTAGTGTACTTTATTCTGTACTTCAAACGATACAATGATCACGTAACAACGTTAACTAATGGTGTTGAACGCTCAGCGTCCATGTGACACCACACAGTGGGCACCTCTAACCATACATCAGTTTGTCCTGACATATCAATTAAATTCTATTTTTGTTTTATTTCTATTCCATTACCAAAGTGTTACCCAACTAAATCTCCCTTCGTCACCCATCCTGTGCCATCCAAAAACTTAACCTATGACAGCATATACATATCATCTCTTTGCCTTAATCATGCGACGGCAGTCTACGGGGGAAAATACATGTTTTTATCAGACGAACATGTGCTTCCAGAGAAGGCTCGCGTAGAGTAATAAAATGAGATATGACTTGTGGACTTTTGTTGGGTAGTCCAGACTCTGGGTAGGCCTATATCTGTTGAGATACGTGGGAACAGGATCAGTTATCTAAGCCAATCACAGTTATGTCCCTTAGGTAAATTGAGAAGCACTATCAGAGTTACGTCCCTTGACTCAATCTGGGACGAAATCACATGACCGTAAAATCATGTGGGTGATACAGTTCACGTTACATGTGATGAAAACATGGCATAGATGACAGCAGCGAAATGGCAGACGACGCATTAGACTGGCTTCGCGACCATATATATGTAAGTATGCGTTCCTTAAATGAGTATAGCATCGGTTACTGGTACGTAAAGAGGCTGGCATCTGAAACGAGATGATAAAGGATGAAGATATATCTGTGTTTACATTATCATCTCTTGACGTCACGCTACCACAATTGGTACACTACCCAAATTGGTACACGGTCAGAAAATTGTTCGAATAGTACTTTAAAATTAAATTTGAGCATTTTCCATTAACAGTATAACAAAATAGACATTTAACAGCATTTCTGCCGAATAGTTTTGTTTTCAGGAACATTTTAAGAGTACACGATGACTTCAAAGTAAACATATCGGAAAACCAGTAAAAACGACGTACGTCGACGAAACTTTGGAGGATTTTCAAGGGGTTAAATATAAGCATGTTTAAATGTTGATTTCTGGTCCTTATATTCGGATAATATAAAAGTGAATATATACAATTATAGTTCAGTGTGGTATCTATAAAAGCAATATATTTTGTTGTAATCGGCACATCAACTTGTAGAAATATAAACAATTTCCATAGCCTGTGATATGGTGTACCAATTTGGGTATTATTTACGGCCGAAAAACGGACGAAATCTCACTCCGAGTTTAGCGATCTATTTTCAAAAATAAATTACTTAGATACAAATCTTTTCCTGAAAATGAACCACCCTAGGTAGTCTTTGTCAAGAATCAAGAAACATTCCAGATACAAGATCTGAATTTTTAAAGATCACTAAAAAACTGTCAAAATTGTACCAATTGTGGTAGCGTCACGACCTACTGTAATGACGGCATTTCAGGGTCAATACTAAATGTCATTTGTGTCATCATTAAGGACAGACATGCACTACAGCTATCACAGACCTATCTTAAACCAACACAGATATTACTGTCTCACCAGCCTGGTCCAGTTGATGATCCATGTGTAATTCACTTTATTTTCCATTTACTTTCGGTTTTAACGTGCTGATGTTACCTCTCCTGCTGATTGAATGTTTGTTGGAGAGACCAGACACTGAGTGTAAAATTATTCAGACAGTGAAATTTGTAATATTGATTTTGTTTAAAACATGAACACTAGACATTGTTAAAAAAAACACCACTCAGCAGCTTAAATTTAATTACCCACTTTTATGCAACAACAACAATTCCAGCACCCGCCCCTCTGGTATCTTTCTATCTCAATCCAGAGACGTATTATACGTCTCTGCTCAATCCAAAAACATTATCTATTCCCATTATTTTAACATAAATCTCTCTCTCACACACACACCATTGTGTCTGGTAATATTCCCCTCCATCCAGAACTAAAGTTGTATGTTTAGACACATCACCAACACCATAAGTCCATAACCTCTTGTAATTTAGATGTGTCACTCGAGCTCTCTGTCAACTGAAAAGCATATTGTTTAAAATACATACTGACCATCATTGTATTGCTGTTGATGTTGCTTATATTTGTAACTATGTATTATCTCCTAAATGTTGTTATCAATTCTTTTATCAGACCTCTATGTCTGTTGAAAGGAATCAAATTCCCCCATCTGAACAGTAATGTGCTTGAAAAAGCTTTCTATTGCCTGATGAACCTTATGAAAAACTGATGAGATTTAATATTGACAGGTGCCCATCATTGTCGGTCTCTTTGTGGTGGTGCTCCTGATCGTACTGGTCTGGTACCTGTGTAAGAGATGTGGGTAAGTTAAAACCCTGTCATTCTTGGTCATGCATTTCTCTTAAGAATTGATGCAATGGAGGATCTTTGCATATTGCTATAGGCCTACATAAGGATATAATTAGGGCCCGCATCAGAGATGCAGTTTTTTAATGCAAACATCACGGCTACACATTCTTTTAAAAATGTGCTTGTCAGTTTGGTTATTAATTTCAAATTTTACTAGTCCATGTGAAAATTCCACTAACCAAATCTTATTTAGCATAAGTAATACCACATCTTGCCTAATCGATCGGGCTACTGAATCTTAGAGCCACTAGCAATCTTGAGGTTTCAATAGTCTCAGACTAGCAAGCTACTGCCCTTAGTGTCTTACCCTGAATAATTTCGTTTTTTACATGATATTAGTATTCCAAAGAAAAATGATCTATATTAAAATCATGACTTCAAAAATTGGCTCTGCATGTTGGACGATGACCAATAGAGAAGGTGAAAAGTTCCATTGTAAGTGTAATATTTGACTTGTAGGTCGAGATATGACTACAGTGTATTGCGCAGTGATATGGAACTGCCACAGAAAATGGATCTGGAACGACGAGAGCAGCAGAACAGTCTCCGAGGTATTGATGATCTGACAGCTCACATTCTAACAGTCTGTATTCTTTTACTGTGAAATGTCTGAATGGTTATCTCCCTTTAGATATATATAGTTGACAACGCCTGAGAGTGGTGATCATAACAGGCTTACGTCAAAAACACCTGTCTATATCAACATGGTGACATACTGTATCCCCTTGAATGAAATAAGTGCACCATACAGTGTATGACTGGTTGTCTCCCCTCAGATGGAGCCTGGATGAATTGCAGTTTCTACATGAGATCACACCCCCAGTATGACAAGATTGTGCAGCAAGAGGATATGGGTCAGTATCTATGGCTACAGTTGTCTTTCCATTATGTTGCAATAGAACTTCAATTTTGATAACGATATGTAGGTGTTGAATATTTGAAAGGTGAGATACCTGTTGTTGGGTACACCATTGTATATACATCTGTGTCATGGTAACCATTACATGTATATTTGTGTCATGGTAACCATTACATGTACATCTGTGTCATGGTAACCATTACATGTACATCTGTGTATGGTAACCATTACATGTACATCTGTGTCATGGTAACCATTACATGTACATCTGTGTCATGGTAACCATTACATGTACATCTGTGTC